TATCATTAAAAAATAAAGAATTTGGGTTCCAGTCCACATTTTCTCTCCCTTTCTTTCAGGATCTCTCTCTGGTTGCCCTGGTGAGAACACTCACTAGTGGTGGCCGGGCACCATCTAGTTCTGGCCCCAGGGCCCAGGAGACCACGGTTCACGCTGGCCACTAGTCCTGTAGATGACTGTTCTTTGAGTCTCTGGTTTCTTTCTTCCTCCTTTGAGCAGAGAATGACACCCCCCCAGTAGCACGTAGAACATCTACTTCATGAAGCACACGATTCGAATTAATTGAGTCGTCCCGCAGGATTATGGTCCTTGGTGCTAGGTTTACGGCCATTTCTTATATGCATGATTCTATGGACATGTGAATTAAACCACACATTTTCTTTTAAAAAAACAACTTATTTTATTGCAAAGCAGCATAGTGATACACTACTAACTTATAAATGAAACTATGTGATGCTATATATTTACATTAAAATTCGATCATATTTAACATTGTACATTTGAGATATTGGGTTCGACATTGTAAGGGTGGCTTGGATTGGTCAGAAGGACAATATCTGCTACATTGTCTTTACATTTGATGCTTACTTTCTAAGAACTTTTTAACGATGTTTATATTTATTACTGAAGTAATGTTTTCATCAATGAACCTGAATTCCTGAGATTAGTACTCAATATATGTTTGCATCAAATCAGCATGCCACACAGAGATTTTCGAGATTAGAAGGCGTAGAAGAAAATGAATCTGGATATCTATTTGTCTCATTAATTGAAGAAAAGTCAGCATAAACGGTAGGAGGTAAATGTAAGCAGTTTCTGTAATTTTCATTGAGGAAATTGAAATGCGTCAAAATGACGCATCCTGTAAACTTATGTTTTTCTTGAGATGATTGGTTTTGTCTGAGAAGTAATTGTAATTGCTCCCCCAGCGGCTTATTATATATGTATGAATGCATTTGCATGTACTTAGATACTGTATGTACATATGTCTCGGTGCAGACATGTGTGTATACACAGGTACCCACATATTCATACCCATATATGGAGGGGGGGGGCCTTCATAAAGCCACTGGAAAATTTTTATTATCTCTTAATTCCATTTTGGCCTTCTTCTAAAAGTGTGATCCTACAATATTTATCCTCTCGTGATTGACATATTTCAGAGGGTGACTTTGCCACAGGGCAAAGCCATGGCTCTCATTTAAATTAAAAAAATGGACACAGGTCCAAGATTTGACTGAACTCCTGAATTATCGAAAACACCAGCAAGATGTCAAGACAGGTTCCAAAGAGAAGGCCAAGACCAGACACAGGTGGAAGTGACCGGTACTGCCAAAACGCATCGGCAAATAAAGGCAAAGCCAAACCCGGGAGCCAGGGCGACAATCAACTGCAGAGCTGCGGCACACACTCCACTTGCATCGCCCGGATGTGGACTCCTTGGCCCTGAATGAAGGCTGAATTGTCACAAAGAGCTCTCTGCTGTCTGCCATGCACAGAGTTGTAAAAGACCGCAGTCAGAAGCCTCTACACAACCGGAGAAGCTGGGCAGGGCACTTTGGACCGTGTGCACTAAAATAATTATCTCCAAGATCTCCACTTGGGGAGGAGGAGAGTGGGCACTCAAACCCCGTGTCTCTGCCCAGGCCCTTTCCACAGGCCCAAGTAGCTTTTGGAAAGCGAGGCGGCATGCCAGCAAAAATCTGTCTACCCGATCAACTCAGCACTTTGTTTAGCTAAAGGTCCCTGGTCTCTAGGCTCAGAACCTGCTGCAATTCACTAAAAGACTCGTGGGGAAGGTGACGGAATTTTCAGAGTCAGTGATTGCTTGGCTGGTAAGGTAAGAGCCAGCAAGGGAAAAGAATTCAGACAGGTTTCACCCCTGCAGCGGGAGGAGGCCCCTGCCTCTCCGTGGCCTGCACCAGCGGCTGCTTTGGTCCTGGAAGTTGGTGCTTGTGAGCCCGAAAGAGGAGGAGCACCCTAGCCCTGAGCAACCTAGCCTTGTGCTGATGCCCGGTGAAAAGTGGTTGACAAGTGTGTTTCAAGATGGACCTAATGCCGGGGGT